CAGCAATTGAGACTGGGTGTGGTGGCGTGCGTCTGTAATCCCAGCTCTTGGGAGGCTGTAAACAGTCTGATCTAGTAGTGAGACCCTGAACATCCTGTAGACCCTTCCCTAAAATACAAAAAGAAAGCAAAAGAAAATAACATATCAAGTAGAAGAAAAAAACAGATGTCACTTACAAAGACTATGAAGAACATTCATAGATCAGGAGGAGAACATTACTTAAGATTAATTTTGATTTTATTCAGTCTCAATTTTTTATATGCAAAGTATTTTAGAATTTGTTGGGTCGGTAAGTGTTAAATAGTAAGTTGTAAAAATATGTATTCTTTATATGGTGCCAAAGGTCTATTTTGAAGATAATATTGAATATAATTTCTAACAAGTCTTTTAACTTAGCACTCTGACAAAATCAGACTAGACTGCACTGGTCAGATTAACACTTTCAAGACTGACACAATAAGTATAATTTTTAAAAGACTGTAGCAGGGCTGGCAAGATAGCTCAGTAGACTAAGCACCAGCTTAAGTAAGCACAGGATCAGGGGTTCAATTCCCAGCAACACATACTGTGCTGGCCTTACCCCCCAGGCACACTGAGCCAGCCTCTGACACTGGGCATAGTGGTGCTCCAATGCTGAGGCTGAAAACAGGCGGATCACTAAAAAGTCCAAGCTGCTTAGAGAGATGCTGTACCAACTACATTAAAAAACAAAGGTTGTACATGTGGAAGTAACTGTGTATCAACATTTTTTTGTGATTTACTATGATTATACATTACTGTAGATTTCCATTTTTAAAATACTTATGATTCATAAAACAGGAAATCTTAATTGATATTATAAATAGGTGGACCTGAAAAACAAAAGAGAACTGGACAATTTCTTAAGGACTAACATTGCTGGGTGGAATAACTCACCCCAACACCAGCATTTGCAAAATTACTATAAATGCACATATTCAACAATCAGTATTTTAAACCATGCAGAGAATGAAAGAAACTTACTATTCTAGTGGATATGTTTAACAAAAAGCATGATAAATGTCAAAGTGAGGCACGTGAGCCTATGATTTTCTTTAACCCACTAGTAATGAGCTCAGCAAGCTGTAAAATTTTAAGACTTAATTGATTAAACCTTAAAAACCATATTTACAAATACACACTTGTATTTATTGACATACAAATTATATATTATACATGATACAAATTCTGTGTGCAGTGCAGGTTTATCCCACAGGTTTTTTTTTTTTTTTTTTTTTAGACAGGGTCTGATTATGCAGTTCAGGCTGTCCTTGAACTCACTATGTAGCTCAAACTGGCCTCAAACTCATAGCAATCCTCCTGCCTCTGCCTCCCAAGTGCATGTGACACCATGTCCAGCCAACTGTGGGGGTCTTTGTAGGTATGTATTTTCAATGTATATTTATTAAAATTCTTAGACTGCCTGTTGCAGTTAGTTTTGTGGTAGGGCTCTTATTACCTATCAGTGACTACTGCTAAAATCATCTGTAGTGATTAATCTCACAATTACCAGAATGTCAGGACAACTGCCTTCCTTCTGACTTTAAATTTAATAAATATCTTCACCTTTTATATTATACATTATTTTGCCTTCTGAGCTTTGTCTTGAATATCCAGGTACTTCTTTCCATCCTTTTCCAATAGGATGTTAATTTGCAATGTTTAAAATTGGAATGAGTCAATTGGTTAAAATGAAATAAACTGCATAATTTGCACTTACTTGCAAGCTACACTTAAAACACTAACGTGTTGCTGGGGAGCTGGCTCAGTGGCCTAAGTGCCTGCCTGGCAAGCGCAAGGTCCTGGGTTGGAGCTCTGGGAACCGCCCTCAAAAAGCTAATATGTATATTACATTCAGTCCTGAAATCTTTGCTCTTGGTCACTTTTAAAAAATCTGAGGAAGAGAACATTTCTAATACTGTAAATATTGATAAGTGTAATCCTCTGAACTACATAAACAACAACTGTTTAATTTTTAAGAGCACGAAAGTTCCTGAGACTTAGAAGTTTGAGAACTGCTTAGGTTCTAGAACTTAAAATTTTGTAGCTACTGTTAAAATGGAGTATTCTGATATGAATGTGAGTTTTTCCTTGTTTTTTTTTTTTTTTTTTTTTTTTTTTGCTGCCTCAAGATGCTTTTCGGGTTTGGCATGAGTATCTGGGTTTGAACCACAGCACCTGAGCCTGCCTGCTTTGTTTAAGCAGGCACTTAAACAACTGAGCTAATGGGCAGGCCCCCTTTCCTTGTTTTCATAATGCTTCTTTGGACGGAAAGCATTTTTCAAGCTAACACATTTCAAAGTTTCTTTAAAACTAGTTAATTTGGGCTGGCCAAATAGCTCAGTGGATTAAAGAGCCAGCAAGCAGGTGCAGGGGCCGGGGGTTCAATCTCCAGGCCTGCTGTGCTGGCCCCACCCCCAGGGTGTGCTGAGACGGCAATTGAGACTGGGCGTGGTGACATGCGCCTGTAATCCCAGCTCTTGGGAGGCAGTAAACAGGCAGATCACTACGAGTCCTATCTAGCAGTGAGACCCTGAACATCCTGTAGATCCTTCCCTAAAATACAAAAAAAGAAAAAGAAAAAAAAACTTAGTTAATTTGCCTTAAGCTAAAGTACACAAATTTGCTCATTAATAATCCCAAACTCTCCTGATACACACTGCAAGCAACAAATCTTGCCTTCTGTATTCATCAAGAATATCTGAGCAAGACCTATCTCCCTAATATAAATTCTATTAAGATAAAACCAATAAAAGCATTTTTAAAAAAATGAAGCAAATTTTCTAAGAAACACAGGTAGTAAAGATATATAGGTGTAATTGTTTCAAAAAATTTAAAATGCTTCTCCCATCACTAAATTACTTTATTATTATTATTATTTTTTTGGTGGAACCAGGGATTGAACTCAGGCCCTTGCGCTTGCCAGGGAAGCACTTATTCCACTGAGCCATCTCCCTGGCCCTTTTTTTTTGCATGGGATAATTTTAAATCATTTGCATTTACTTAAGCATGCCCTACATGCTAGCATATGGTCTATTTTGGAGAACACCCCCTGTGCAGTTGAG